CCCTTCCCTTTACTATTTTCTATCCAAACAGTACGTAAGAGATGATATGCAAATTATCACAATGTAGTATATCAAGTTCTGAAGTAAGGTTATGTTCTATAAGCCATTGAATATCCAAAAATCAGAATTGGAAAATTTATGAAGCAAGAAATAAGAGAGAATATGAAAGAAAGATTGCCTAATAAATGTCTCTGTTTTTTTAGGTGCAACTAATAGATAGATGTCCCTGTTTATTTTAGGTGTAACTAATAGATGTACCTTACCTTCAAAAGCATAACAATGCACAAAAGCATCTAAGTTGCCCAAAATCTTCAATGCCCGATCCACTGCCTCATCAAAAACTCCCTCCCTCTGCTCTTCCATATCCAAACCAACCACCTCCACAGGCACCACAGCCTCCGCCATACTCATTATCTTATCTCTCAAACTCCTCAGACAAAACTCATTTCCCATCAAAACCAACCTAATCAGAATGGAAAAGAGTTCAGCTTTAAACTGTAAAAGAACCAAAAAAAAAAACCCTCATAAACTATACAGTTCAATCATTTTCTTATCCATTCACTCTCTTCTCTGAGTAATTAGCAAGAAAATGTCAGAATCCAGAATCTGGACGATGTAAAGATTCGATTTTTCTTTCTGGTTTTATAGTAACCAAACATGTAAACAAGATAGAGACTCAAAAAAATCGAAAGTTCGGAGTTAACCTGCAACCCCGCTTGACTAAATGCAGGGCAATGCTCTCTGAAATCTCATCCCCATTGGAAGTGAGCAAGACTTTCTTCCCTTGGCTTCCCATCTCTGGCCTGAAACCAACTCTGCCCACCAAAGATCAAAATGCCACAAACATCAAATGATCAAAACCCACAAAGATTCAGAATCAAACAAAATAGCACAGAGAAGACCACCCCATTACCGTTACAAAAGTTTTGGCCCTTCAGTGGAAGAGGCGTCATCACACTGACATCCAGTTTTATAGTAGTACACTGGTTTGTATGCCCAACAAACAAAATAGTAATCCTGGTATGAACTCACAATTCTTCTCGGAGAAAGTAGCAAATTAGTATATATTAGCATTAAAAATATGAAAAATATTTAATTATAATTATTGAATATTTAAATTATAATATGTACCTTTTTTGAAACGTTTTTTTTTTTTTTGAAACGAAATTATAATATGTACAATAAGCAGGGACGGAGGCCATGAAGGACAAGGGAGGGCAGCCGCCCCCCTAAACTTTTGAAAAATATTTAATATGGTACTCTAACTTTTATTTGTTAAAAATTTATTGTTATGGTATGAATTTTAAGGATTATTTCAAATGTAGAGAGAATATTTATGATTTAAATAAAAAGTTTTCAAAAAATAAGAATATGATTTTAAATAAAATGAATTTTATGGCAATTTAATTAATTGGAAATTGAGGTTTTTAAACATTTCTTTATTTATTAAGCTCCCAAATGGAAATTTTTAATTCTTTATTTAATTAACTTTAAATATATAGGCTTCTTTAGTATTTTTTTATTTTCTTTCTTAATATTTTATATAATAATTTAAAATTTTGTTTATGGCATTGAGATACATTTTTACATTTCATGATTGAATTTATAATTATTTTTTGTGTTAAATCAATTAAAATTAGAATTCACATTCTAAAAGAAATATTCTAGCATTTTTTTATAATATTAATGTTTATCAACATGACCTCCAAAAAATTAAAAGAAAAATCTCCAAAAATTACATTATTTGATTAAAATCAAAGCACTCTCCTTCCTAATTTAAGAATATGTTTTTATTTTTTTTAAAGCAAGTTTATTAAAACAATGTAATTTTATGGCATTTTTTCTTCTAATTTTTTAAAATTTTTGTTAACAAAAACATTTTTCTTTTTAATTCATTCTTCAATAGATCTTTATATAATTATTACTATAATATTTTATATTTTATTATAATATATAAATTTACTTCTAATTTTTGTTAAGAATATATCAATAAAAAAGACCACAAGTAAATCTTTTTATAAGGAAAAAAAGATTTAAAAGAAAATGAATTAGTATCATAGAATATACTCTTGAAAACTAAATTCTTTAATACTAATTTTCACCCCTCCTAATTGAATTTTCTGGCTCTGTCCTGACCTTAAGTTTATTAAATTCACAGTGAAGTTATTATTAGACATCTTAATATTTTTAATATTAAAATATTTTTTTCCTTTAAAGCTTGATATTTTTCAATATGAACTAGTACATTAGTGCTGTCTAAATATTATAATTATAAAACCACCATTAACAAAAAAAATATATGGAGACTTTTATTAACATTGTTTTGGCTACCTCAATATTTTAGGGTGTATTTTTTTATGTTGTCTGTTAATAAAACATTCTCTTTTCATTTATTTATTTTTTGAAAAAAAATTATTGTATAGTTCTTAGTAATTCAGACGCAAAACAAGAAATCTTTATTTTTATTAGGTTAAATACTCTTTTTGGTTCCTCTATTATAGGAAAAAACCCATTTTTGGTCCTTGTACAGAAAAAATCCTCTTTTTTTGTCCTTACTGTTCACAAATCCGGCCCTTTTTTGGTCATTTCGTTAATTTTTGCTCATGTGGCACGTTAACTAGAATAGTTGATGTGAATATGCCAACATGTAAAAGATGCTTATGCGAACTTAATGATACCCTCCACTTGCGGGAAAAAAGAAAAAGAAAAAGTTAAATGCTAAATTTGATCCCTCAACTTTATAAGTTTGCATTTTTTTATCCTTAGATTATTCTTTTCACTTTTTTGATCTTTTAATTTTAAAAATTACACAATTTTGATTCTTCCGTCAATTAAACATAACGTGATAATTAAATAATTCCATTTGACATTTTCTTTTTATTTTTTTGATGACATGAGAATTATATATATTATAATTGTGTTATATAGATAAATAAAAATGTTACATAGATAAATATTTATATTTTAATTTAAACACAAAATTACATTATTACCCTCAACTCTCAACCCCTCTTTGTCCCTTTCTTTCTTTCCTTTCTTTCTTTCCTACCTAGATCGACTAGGTTCGTCGAAACCCAGCCTTGTTGGTTGCTCGAACCCAACCTTGCTGTGTTCATCAAAACTCAATTACTGGTTTCATTAAAGCCACTGAGTTCATCAAGCTAGTAGATCTCATCAAATCAAATTAACCCTTCAATAAACAATATCATTCAAACTCTAATCCAATTTCAACAAAAATGCAATCAAATTGTAAATCAACTCTCAAATTTATCAAGAACTGAAAATGAAAATAGAAAGAAAAATGAAAAAACATGAACCCAGCGTCGAAACCCAGCAAGGCTGGGTTGGTCGAAACCCAGCCTTGCTAGTTTCGTCGAGCCTGGGTTGGTCAAACCTAGCCTTGTTTGTCGTGCAAACCCAACAGCTAGGTTTCGACAAACCTATCCTCCATAGCTTCTCTCCTCCCTCTTTTACAATAAACAGAATACCCATCACCTTCACTCTCCATCTTTCTACACCTCTAGCTCTCCATCAACGGAGCCGCAAAGGCCATCGCAGTCTAGCCAGTGTCTTCCTCTTCAAAACCGACTCGGGACCAAAACCTGCACCGGAACCTAAAGAAGACAGAGATGAGGATGAGAGAAGTGACCCAGATGACGTTTTTTGAATCCTTATATGCAACAGTGATGAAGGTGAAGACGACAGAGACGGAGAAGAAGGAGAAGATGTGGATTTGAGGTGGGTTAAAGTCAAATTAAGAGCCTCCGCTGACGGAGAAAGTATTGAGGTTTTGTTACAAAAGAAAGACGAGGAAAGAGAGAAGACCGGGGAGCTTGATACCGTGATGGAACACGACATGGTTTTCTGAATCTGTTAATTTTTTCAGATATCAGGGCCGGATTTACACAACCAAGACCAACAAGGCTGGGTTCGTGCGACCAGGACCAGCAAGCGAGAACAGCAAGGAGATTGTGTAATTTTTAGAGTTAAATAAAAAAAGTGAAACAAATAATTTAAAGATAAAAAAAAATGCAAACTTATAAAGTTGAGGGATCAAATTTAGCATTTAACCTTTTTTTTTTTCTTTTCCCGCACGGGATGGTGACGTGGAGGGTATCATTAAGTCCACATAAGCATCTTTTATATGTTGGTATATCCACATCAGCTGTTTCAGTTAAGTTAACATGCTACGTGAGCAAAAATTAACGGAATGACCAAAAAGGGACTAGATTTGTGAACAGTAAAGACTAAAAAAGAGATTTCCTCGGTACAAGGATCAAAAAGAGGCTTTTTCTATAATAGAGGGACCAAAAAAGGTATTTAACCTTTTTATTATTGTTAGGAGGAAATTATTAACTTGTATCGAGGAAAGTATTTAATACATTTTTTATAATTAACTTACATTAAAAATTAAAATATAAGTTTAATTTTATCAATCATTTAATTATAAGTATATATGTGACATTAATAATAAAAATAAAATTAATTTTTATGAATTTTATAAAAATTAATTTAATGCATTTAGAGTGTAAATTAAATAAATAAATTATTATTATTATTATTATTATTATTATTATTGAAGTGTGAACTCCACAATGACATTGGAAGTTACTTGAAAAAAGGGTAAATTTCATAATTTGGACGAGTGGAGTTTGGTCAATGTGATGTCTTCGACCTTTCTTCGTCATGGTCAACTGACTAACGTGAAAAATACGTGGTCGGTTTGGTTCCATGGTGCGAACGCTCGAGCATGGATTTATTTTATGGGTGGTAATGGGGTCTACCGTCTACGAGAGAGCTTACGATTGCAGTGGTTGGGTTATATATAGCAAATATATTTTTTATTTTTT